TCCACTTCCTTAGGGTTTTGCAAAAAAATAAAATGGAACAACAACTGATGACCTCCTTTTACCGGTCCACAATAGAAAGCATCTTCATTCATTGCATTACGGTGTGGTATGCTGGCTTGATAGCCGCGGATAGAAAGACATTACAGAAGGTGGTGAGCACAGCACAAAACATCGTGGGCTGTTCCCTGATACCACTAGAGGACATCGCTAAGGCTCACTGCCTTAGAAGAGTGAGGAAAATCCTCAGGACGACTCACACCCTGGTCAGCCCTGCTTAACTCTCCTACCATCTGGAAGGAGATATAGAAGCATAGGCAGTTGCATAAATAGGCTGAAGAACAGTTTTTATCTGTGGGCTGTCAGACTCCTGAATGAAAAATAACTCTACAACAACATAGTACAATTGATCTGCGGAGCCGGCGTAACGTAGAAGTAAGTTCACATGGTACAATAGGACTGAGTGGTTGTTAGTAGGATTCACTGAGCTAGGGATTTTTTTTTTTTGTCTTTCATTGTGAGTTGTGTTGGGGTGGGGTGGGGTGCATGAAAGGAGGCTCAGCCAATCTCATTGTACACATGTTGTACACTGACAATAAAGGTTTGAAATGAAATTATGTATTAATTGCAGGCAGGGGATCCACGTGACTGAGATGACTACTCTAGAGTACAATGGATAGGATTTTACAGGCTTGAAATTCTTGACATTTGGTCTCCAGTCATTGGTCTGTGACAATAGTAAAGAGGTCTTGCTAGGATAAGGGCTGGATAAGTTCTGAAAAACCTACACAGTAATTTGAGCATTCCTGTTGCCAAACTATTCTGTTAAATGTAGTTACGCCCATATCTTTCCTTCAAAACAAACATTTTATGTTCTCTAAAATTCTCTATAGCAGTAACTGTAGTTGTGATCTCCAATTACATCCATGTAAAATGAAATATGTATTGTGTTACAGCAGATACTTAGGGTTTTTTTCCCCAGGCTAATACTGGTTTGATAATTATAATCAATTATTGGTTATTTTATAAAATTAATTTGAATATTTTCTCACTCTCACTTTTGAAAAGAAAAATGCACAAATCTGTCCACTTATCGCAATATTAAAAGCTGGTGCATCAGTGTCAGGAGTCCAAGACATGAATAATGCCTTTAAAAAACCACTCCTGACTTTGCTATATCAGCTACTGAACTTTGGAAAGTAAGGAAAATGATCACCATCAATTATAATAACATCCTTTGACAAGGCTGCAATTAATTTTTTTTCTTTTTTAAAAAGCGTAAGTTTTGTTCCATGATGCCAAAAGAAATGGCAGGCATTAATTGACTTATCACCAGGCAGTGATAAATGGTACCAAATGTAAAGTAGTTATTCATCTTTAGCTGAATAAACTGTTTTGTCTCCAGTGTTATGTCTCCAGTGTTATGGAAAGAATAACAATAGGATATTCAAAGAGCACTTTATAAATATTTGCAATAGGATGTGTTATAAAGTAATACATCATGATGCAGCATTTACATATAAAAAATGCCAATCTAAAGTTCTATAAAACACATATTTATACTGAGAAATATGAAAAGTAAAATATAAAGTATAAAAAGAAGTATAAAAAGTGAAAAAATAGGGTTGAGTCTTAACATCAGGAAAAGAAAGATAATGACAACAGCTGTAGACAGATATGAGATGTTTATAATCAGCAACGAAATTGAATTAGTTTGAGAATTTATCTTCCTTGGATCAAAAATTGTTCACGATGGCAGTTTTACTCCTGAAATTAAACACAAAATAACCTTACAATGGTTAACATGAATAAGATCTGGAAAAACCAGAGAAATTGATATAAATACAAAGAGCAGACTAGTTAGAGCAATAGTCTTCCCTAAAATGATGTGTGGGTGTGAGAATTGGACACTAAGAATAGTTCATTGAAGAAGAATTGATGCTTTTGAACTGTGATGCTGGCGTAAATTATTGCATATAACATGGACAGCCAGAACAACTAATAGAATTGTGCTGAATCGTATAAAACCAGAAACATCACTAGAAACCAAAATCACAAGATTACATCTGGTTTACTTTGGCCATGTCATGCATGCAAATTCATTGGGGAAGTCAGTGACCCTAAGAATGGTTAGTGGAACAAGAAGAAGGGGCAAGAAAAGAACATGCTGGCTTGATAACATCAAAACTGATGCAAAGATGAGCATCCAACAACTGAAAGAATCTGTGCATGGAGAGCACTTGCCTATCAAGTTGCCAAAAGTCAGACACAACCGAATGGTTAAAACAACAACAAAATAACAAACTCTTGGCCTTTTCCTCAGCTGAGAGGTCATGCAGTTCTAATGATTTGTCTTTTCAGTTATGGATACAGTATCAACTTTAATTTCCAATGTAGATTAAGTTTCCCAAAAAAACCCCTCAGTATATCCTTAGAAATATCTATAAACTATCTCTCAGATCAGTGAGGAGCTGCATTCTGCAACACAAGCCTAGCCCAGGCTTTTACTATCAGTAGGCACAGCCATTTCCTTACTCCAGCAGCAATCAAAGATACGTTTGGAAGGAAATCAGAGAGGGCTTTCTTGGACAGCTGTTCTAGCAACAAACAAACATATTTTTATTTGGATATCCATTTGGTACTTTCTGCTAATTGGGTATGGGTTATACTTTTTAATTGATATATTTCAATAACGTTTTACACTTTAAACTGTGACATACTATACATTCTATTGAATTATAAAACGTGCCTAACCATTGTTAAGTAGAGTAACAATTATCGAGCAATTCCTTTGATTTTCCACCAATATCTGATATGCAAAACCATCTTTGTAAAGGTTCTGGAAATACATTCGGTTTAGTTGTCTAGACCTTGGTTGTATTTACATACTGCATTAAATTATGGCTATTTCTTTGGCTTTGGCATAATGGATCATGGAAACCTAGCAAACTGGGGTTTTAAAACTTGTTTTTTTAGCTTAGCATGTGGTGCAAACTCAGCCATGTGGTTTATTCAATAAACTGTGGTTAAATAAATAATGGTTAATCATGAGATCTGTTAGGGAATGGGGTTGAGGGCCCCCCCCCGGACCTGGAACCAGCTCATAAGCAAACGCACTAGGACTAAAATAAATCTGACAGAGGAGTCTTGTGTAAAAATATAATTTACTTTAAAATGTTTAAAAAGCACTATGTCTTTAAGAAAGCACATTAAAAACAAAGTCTTATCTTGGTTATGTGAAGCAAGGCTATCTCCCTAGATTCCTCTCCACAATACCGAAACAGTTCACAAGAGAATAAAGCTAACATGAAGATAAGCAGCTTCGGTGTCGATACATCATCGAGGTAGTAGAAGGGCGGCAGCACAAACTTCACAGCTAAAAGTCACCTGAAGTAAAACAGTTCAAACAGCAAACGTAGCTTGAAGTTTGTGGGAGGAAGAATGTCCAGCAACAGCAGTCCCGATGATAGCTTGCGTGCTTCAAAACAGCAAAAGGCAAGCATCCGTAGGAGTTTCTCTGCAACAGTGTCTGGAGTCCTTATCTGTGCTTCTCCTCCCATCTGCGACGGTGCACTGAGCTCTGCTTGCAGCTTCCAGCAAGAGCTCTTGCATCTAGGCCTAAACAGCGTTAGGCCCAAGTAGCAAGCGAAAAGGTCCTTGCTTATATGGGGAGTTAACCTGCAATTAACTAGGGCGGGGAAGGCTTGCAGGTAATTGCAAACAGGAGATGGCTTAATTGAAACCATACTGTTTGTGACTGATCAAGTAGCCACAGCAATCCTGAAAACACTCTGACAAGATCAGTTTCAGTATGTGCTTTTGTTATTATGATCTTCTGCTTCATGTTTTTTAAATTCTTATTCCTGTTGATCCCTGGCAATTTGTTTTATGGCGTCTCCCTCAGATTTATTCTATCTTATGCCCTAAGTCTTTTTTAAAGACATGCAGTTTTATTTCTCATGACTTCTGTGTAACATTTGAAGCTCAAGACAGGACTGCTCTCCTGTCTTCAAGCTTTGATTTCAGAATTCATTAAATGACCTAATCTGGACAAGCTACAGCTGCATCCAAAATGGAAAATTTCATTTTGAGTACTGATCCGATTCCTTTCTCTGCAGCTTGGACAAGAAATGTTCCGACTTCATTTCATTTCATTTCATTTCATTTCATTTCATTTGTGAAGTAACGCTGGAAAATCTATAGGGAAACCTATCAAATGTATGAGCACTGCAAGATTTCTTTTAATAGGTTATTGGACTTGCTGAAAGCTGCCTAAAATTGAAAGAGCCCTACCTTTTGCAATCTACTTCAGTGGTTTTTCAAATGCCGACTCTTAGAAAATATTTCTAAAACAACTTGTTTATCAAAGAACTCCTAGAATCTTTGGTATACTAAATGCACAGATTCAATTTATAATCTGTATTCTGCAGAATTGATACATACTCCATAGCTGATGAGGTGGTACGGTAATGCCTAATATAGCCTTACAAGTATGTACTGTAAGTATTTTACTTTATTTATGAAATTGCAAGGATGTATTAGTAGTGGAAGAAAAAGCGGTCTTAAAAGCTTCCCTGCCAAACCATTACTTAATTATTTTACTAAACAACTTTTCATAAGTTTTCCAGGAAATATTCTGGTTAGTGGATCTCACTTTGAAAACAGCTACTATATTGTGACAAAGCTACCATTCAATCTCTGTATTATTGTTTCACAGAGTTCAAAACAGATTGTCCCCGCCATTAATGCAAATTCGTTCCCCTAAATCTAAACTAATTTTATGCAAAATAAACTACACGGATTAAGCAAATAAACTCAGGTACACTTGGTGTAGTCCAGCTGCAGAATGTTGGTTTTCTAACTATAGACTTAAGGGTTTCCCTTTCATGAAGTGCTGGATTGCAAACCATTTCTGAAAGCAATAATATAAACATGTCCCCTCTCATTGGCATTCTTGTAGTTTAACTTCCCCTCCCCCCGGAACTTTAAAGGCATTGACATACCTCCCCAGAAAAAGCTTGTCCATTCAACAGATGTTCTGACCCCTGGCTGTCTTCACTGCCAAAGTGTAACCGTATTTCTTCTAGTCGGTGACTGTATGTCATGGGCCCTCCGGAGATATTCACCAGATGTTCTTTATCCAGGCGTAGAGAAACATGCCTCCCTGTATTATACATTGTTCCACTGACCTAAACAAAACAGAATACAAAGGATGATATAAAACATTTTTCAAAAAAAAAAAAAAAAGTTGGGAAGAAATTAACAATCTTTTAAATCGGTATTTCTCAACCATGGCAACTTAAAGATGTGTGGGCTTCAACTCTCAGAATAATTCTACACATCTTAAAGTTGTCAAGTCCATATCTTAAAGTTATCAAGATTGAGAAACATTGTTTTAATGGCTTCTTTTTTTTTCTGCTTGGAACATTGTGTTATACACCAAATTATTTTAATCTATACATATTTCATATAAAATCTGCAAGATACATGCGCACATTAGCTGGGAGTGTATGAGAAACACAATAAATATGATGTGTTTGCCTCTAAATAAGTAAGAACATGAAAGCATCCCTTAGTACAGAATGAAATTATTGCTTCATTAACAAATTTTGGGCCCCAGAAAGGTGAGTATCTGCATGAAAATATAAATTATTTACATTGTACTTAAACATTTTTTAAAAAATGAACTAATTTATTCTTACTGAAAATGTCATATTAAAAAATAATAAAGAAGGCTAGTTTGGAAGACACAGGGATCTCAAAAATAGAAAATGGCACTATTTTTTGGACCCTTAGCAACTCTGGGTGAAAAATGTTATGCCCACTATTGATTGTTTCAACATAACTAATTGAATTGTTTTGTCCAAGATGTATTGACCATATACCTTAAGACATTATGACCCTAATACTGAATGATGGCTCCTGTAATGAAGGACAATAGGGCTAGGTCTGTATACATGACCTGTGAATTATCACACTCTCTGGCTTTTATAGCAGGGTCATTGAATGGCATTCTGCCTGAGTAAGTTGCAGTATAAAAATCTAGTATGCTCATCCAAGTCATACTAGCAAAACACAAGTTGAGTAGTAAGTAAAAGATTTTCTACTGTTTATTAGTTTCATTTCAAAAGAAGATGATGTTGATGGGGGAGAGTCAAAGCAACAAGACAAAGTATGTATGTGGTCAAGAACATAAAAAAATATACATAGAAAAATTACTCACTATAGAATCAGCAAATAAAACATTGTAAAAGGACATTTTGTTACTGATGGCATTACAAAGGTAGAAGATAGAGGGCACAATCTGGAAAACTTCCAACACAAGCATTACTGGAATAATTAGAAAGCATCCCAATCTATGGCAATATTCCTACACAATTTTCATTCACTTTCCAGAAACACATGCACGATATTTAATTTCAGGATGGATTGTCCATCACTGCCCATATCTTTGTTTTCGGTGCTTTTGAGTCAGACAGTCAGTCAGTCAGTCAATCAGTCAGTCGGCCGGCCAGCCAGCCAGCCAGCCAGCTAGCCTGTTTGTTTGTCTGTCTGTCTATCTATTTTCTATGCCGCCCATCTAACCGAGGCGACTATAGGCAGCTTACAGTTATTCAATAGAATATATCATGTAAAACATTTAAAACAATAAAATAAAGACCATAAATTGTTGACTCCTGGTAAGTGGCCTGGACCAGACCCTGCAGTTTTCTTCTGCATTATATTTGATGTCTTTAACCCTCATGTTCTTCTAGATCATGGGTGTCAAACTCACGGTGTCACGTTGCCGTCATGTGATGTTTCATGACATTTTTTCCCTTCACGGAGCTGGGGTGGGCATGGCCTGCATGTGATGCATCTGGCATGTGGGCCGCCAGTTTGACATCCTTGTTCTGGACTATCTGCAGTTGTTGGGAGTTGGGACTCTATCTTGCCATGGTGCCACTCCTATCTAAGCAGGGAGTTTCAGTTGACGGTCATGGAGTGTGATTTTGTTATTTATTTGTGTCAGAAGCATCACAATTAAAATAAGGCATACTATATGACATAAAATATAAAATACCAGATTATTTGTCTTTTGTCATCACTTTATTATCATAGAGGACATGAAAGGAGCCTCCCTGAAGAATGTTTGGTATTAACACATTTGGGAGTCCACTGGGCATCATCTTATAGATGGAGAATCCTTTCAATCCAGAAGTATCCGAAGTATAGGGAGATGATCACTACCATCTGTGACACTATGGAGAGTAATTGAGACCCTGAAAGTTCCAATATGGGATTCCCCAGAGTTCAGTCCTTGCCCCATGTTATTTAATGCCTATGTAAACTTTAGTGAGAGACTGTTCATTGGTTTGTAGTGAAGTGTCATCAGTATGTCGATGCTGTCCAGTTATGTATTGCAATCATGAACCAAGCTGAGGATTCATACTGCCCTAATAAAGTTTGTGATCTGTAGGTCTTCTTGGACTCTTGCCAAAATAGCAGGTGGAAACCATGGCCAGAGGAGGCCTTCCCCAAATTGAACTGGTTTTCCAGTTACCTCAAACAGGATATTCTGACAACAGGAACTCTGATCTCCACCTGTGTAGGACTATTCTACATTTTTCTTTTAAAAATGATGCAGAAGTTGGCAAGGTTGGCAAGATGCTGACAGGGCAACCCCATCATTGTAGAATAATGTGGATTTTGGATTGGCTCCATTGATTACTTTTAGACTTCGGACTCAATTCAATTATTGATTGTTATCTTCAAAGCCATTTATGGCCCAGTACTAGACTATACCTCCCAACAGGCAGTATCTTATCTGAATACACTACTTACCTGGTACAGAAATCTGGTACAGATTTCTCCAGAGGATCTCTTCAGGATGACCCCTCCCTGTGAGGTACATGGGCTATAGATCAGGCAACAAGCCTACTCAGGGGTAAGGCCCACTTCATGAAAGAGCAAAAAACAAACAAACTCTGTACCATTTCAGCAGGTTGTTGGCCTTTAGGGGGCAACCATTATAGGTAGCTGGTTGTTGTTGTTATGGTTTGATTTTAATAATTGCATTTTAGAATTCTTGTTCACCTTATATAGTCTGTCAGAATTGGAATATTCTATAAGTGTTGTTAATAAATAATAAAGTACTTTTAAAATGGAAACTAGGTGGATTTCAGGTTATTTTGTAAAGGTGAACCCCAGACATCTGCCTTCAAATCCCCCCAGGGTGGTATTGCCTTGAGTTTAAGTCAAATGTCTACCATTTTTGAAAACTGTCTGATAAAGCTACTCACTTCTGTGACTTGAGGCTTAGAAGTAGATAATGGCCACACATGTATGCACACACACACACACTCTCTCTCACACACACATTACTCACATAGTAAAAAGCTTGTTACTAAATTACTCTGAATCACATTTTTCAGCACTTCTTTGGGGGAAAAAAACTTAGGCTGAATAGTTACAGAACATTAGATTACGATAATTTATATTAATCAGAGGAAAGTCTACCAACGGTATGCTTTGCTAGGCTTTAATTTGCAAGGAACGCCTTGCCAATTACATACTATACTTTATAGTTCACTGGCATCATAATAATTAGCGCTGCTGCAGTGTAATTTGATCAGTAATAAGTAATTCCTGTGCTTAAAGATCTTATTTTGTTGCTTATTTCCTTGTAAAAAATGTTACATTATAGAGATTTTTGTAAGAGAAGTTAAGAACAGCCATAAAGAGTTCTGTTTCATTAATCTGACAGGGGTTTTTTATGGTTTCTTTTTTATTTCAAATCAGAATGAAGAAAGTTTCTATTTGTCACATAAAGTCATTTATTAATAACCGAAGAAAAAAATACCTTCACAATGAGCAGAACAATTTTTTATTTGCCCTCTGGTTTTCTGTCTTGATGTTAATGCATACAGTAAATATGTAAAGATTAACTTTAAACATTATTTGAGGTTTGCCTTACTCTATTGATAGCAGTATTCAGGGTCTTGAGAAAGGAAACGTGTGTGTACACAAATACTTGCCTGCACATCTGGACAAAAGAGAAGGAAGGCAGCTAACTAAAACAGACTGGTTTAATCCAGTGATAAGATAACTTTTTATGAACTTTTACACTTCTGTTTTGTTCCAATAGTAAAAACCGCACCCCTCGGCATTATAATGAAGGAAACATGTTACATGCTAAAGATATTATAGGATATTAGGATAGCAAAGTTTATGCACAAGTGCTAAAATTGTAAGTCTGCACTGCTCAGTGAATGATTTTTTTTGTATAGTTTTTTCTTGTTTTAACAAAGTATAGAAGTTATGCAGAAACAATTCTCAACTGTCCCTTTTCGTCAAGAGATCTATTAGATACATTTTGCTCCTGCTCAGAAATAAAGAGCTTTTAAACATCTTCCCTGACTCAGTGTGTCTTTTGGCTATCGCACACCAGATTGAATGGATCAACCAGGCTTTCTGGCCAACACTGTATAAAGGAACGAACAGCCACATGCTCCATACTGGATGTGTTACTGCTTTCAAAGAGAAACAAGGAATAAAAGAACCGGTTGGAAAGTCATTTTGCTGATTTGCTTTTTTTGAAATTGCACAAGTCCCTGAATATTCTGTTTGACACTGAGTATATTTCCGGACTCTGCTGGATGCAAATCTGAAATTAGAGGAACCCTGTTTTCTCTCTTGAAGGTAAAATAGTCTGACTGATTTCTAACATAAATCTAATAATTCTCTACAGAGAACAAAGGGGAGCAAGCCACAGGACTAGCTACACTTTGGGGAATTTAACAAGTAAAATTCTAAAGCACCTACACAGGATCTCCTCTGGGAGTCCTTTGCCATTTCAACAGCAGCTGATTCCACGTGCCTACTTTGTCTGCCTTCAAGAGCTGAAATCAATGTCTCACTATTGCTTTGATCTTCCTCTGCATGGAGTGTCTGGAAGACATATCAATAAACTACTCAAAATTTCAATTTTTCTGGCTCTGCTTTGGATCCCTGTACCTTGCAGTAACTTAAACCTCATAGTTCCGGCTATGCATCCCAGCCACTTCCACCAATCTTTATTGAATTCAGCCATGCTTCATAATGAAAACATTGCAGTGTAAATCTTGTATGATAGTAGAGGATCTTCTTGGTCAGGACTTACAGAAACAATGCATTGTGCAGAGTCTTCAGAGGCTTATCACTCATGCCC